AAAGGCTCATTATATCTCTTATGTTTCATCAAATATGAATCTCAAGTTTCAGAAATACCAACATTCTCATGGTATTTGTCAACATTTTGAGTTGCATCAATTTCCTGGTTCTGGGAAGTCCTGATATTTCTCCTGGACACACAAGCAGAACCACCAAGGAGTGCCAGCTTATTTCCCACATAAGCCCAAACACGTCACAAACTCATGCTTCTGCTTTCAGAAGGTGTGGTCCAACAGAGGTATCAGCATGGTATGGCTCTAACACAACAGAAACCAATCACTTCCTGGGCAGACATGAAGAAAACTTCATCGTGAGCATGTCTTAAAAACAAAACTTTCAGATCATTCTGGTGGGTCTATCTGAATGACTCCTGATGAAGATACTGCATGACCGTGAAACATCTGAATGTTCATTAGAGAGGTCCTCAAAGCACTCTCATCCCTTTCCAGCACCTGAATCTAAGAGCCGTTGTCATTCTTTTCTTTTTTTCCAGACTGACTGAATGGGTATTTAATGAGCCCATACAAAGCTGAACGGCTTCAGTGGGACAGAGAGAGCAGAGACTTGCTGAAAAAGAGCCTACAGTCTGGTGGCTTTCAGTACTCTCCTGGGAGATATCGGTTCAAGTTCCTTTGGTGAGATGAGAGACTTCAACCTTGGTCTTTCATACCTCAAGGAAGCAATCTGAAATATTAATGCTTTTTATCAAGTGACGTGGCACCATTTCCTCTTGTGTGTGAAAACCCAACCTCATTAAAGCACTTAACCTTGGGAAAGTATTAGGCTGTGTAACGTGACTGAAAGGAAGAACTATATTCCAGCAGCTGTCAGGACTCTCTGTGCTACTCCCCACCAAATACCTCAGGCATGCCAGCTTTGAAAAATCTCATTTTAGGTGGTATTCCTGGCTTTATGAGAATTTGGTGCCCAACTCAGGGATGCAGCTTCCACTGGAGAACAGAGAGGCAACAGAAGAAATGCTGCAATTCTGAATCAAAATATCCTTGGTGGACTTAGCTATGGCTGTCACGGAAGGACACCATCCATCAAGGGAATCTCAGATCACACACCTCCCCCAGCTAAGAGCATGATAAATTTCTAAAGAACTCCATGGAAGAACTTCCATGGACTTCACTAGGAAGTGGTTTATTTCTTCTGTGCCCCTAATTCCACCGTGATGTTTAAGCACTCCTGTTCACTAGCTCCATGATGTAGAGTGCTTACATGACAAATGGAGCATAGTTTATCTCAATTCTCATAAAACTCTGCTGAAAAAAGAAATGGAAGCTATTAAATAATTCAAGGGTGTCATAGCCATCAGCTGGCTGCATATCTGTGAAACACAATGTGCTTACAGAACATGACACTAAATCCTGTCTTACTCAGAAGTGCTGCTAAGAAAAAATATAAACATACAACAAGAAGACTTTTTTCTTCTCATACTGGATGTCTTTTATTAACAATAACAATGGGAACACAGCATTTCACACCCAAGTAAGGATGAATTGTGATTTCAAATCAATATCACCTTTTTAATTTCTGGATGTAAGATATGTGTAAGGTTAAAGATGAGATACAATTGGAGCAACAAGGTGATATAGCACTGGGGCAACAAAATAACTGTAACATCTAATTCTCAAAATTAGAGGGCTTTAAGTTTAAAGCAACCACAGCTAGCACTACAAAGGTCCCTGAATCATATCAGCTACATAAACTAATAAAAGTCACCTGCTCCATAGACGTTCCACAATCTCTAAGCCAAGAGGTGCAGTCCCCTCTGTATACATCAATGGACTATGAATTGGATATTGCCCCCACTTTGGGAGAAACTCTTAAGGCCATACAGCAGGTGAAAATCGGCAAGGCAGCTGGAGTTGATAGAATTCCACCTGAAGTCTGGAAACATGGGGGCCTTGCACTCCATGCTAAATTTCACAAGTTTGTGGTGCGCTGTTGGGAATTAGGTGAACTACCATCAGACCTTCGTGATGCAGTCATCATCGCTTTGTGTAAGAAGAAAGAAGTTAAATCAGACTGTTCAAACTACAGGGGTATTACTCTGCTCTCCATTGCTGGCAAAATCCTGGCAGAAGGAATTCTACCTGAAAGTCAATGTGGTTTCAGAGCCAACAGGAGTACCACAGACATGGTATTTGTTCTCAGACAACTGCAAGAGAAGTGTAGGGAACAGAACAAAGGTCTCTATGTAACCTTTGTTGACCTCACCAAGGCTTTTGATACTGTGAGCAGAAAAGGTCTGTGGCAGATTTTGGAACGTTTAGGATGTCCCCCCAAGTTCCTTAAAATGATCATCTCACTTCATGAGGATCAGCATGGCCAAGTCAGACATGGCAATGCACTTTCTGAGCCCTTTCTAATAACCAATGGCGTGAAACAAGGCTGCATTCTCGCACCAACCCTATTCACAATCTTTTCAGCATGATGCTCCAAAGGGCAATGGCAGACCTCGATGATCAGGACGGTATCTACATTTGATACCGTACTGATGGAAGCCTCTTCAACCTGCGGCGTCTGAAGGCCCACACTAAGACCTTAAACCATCTTGTCCGGGAGATGCTTTATGCTGATGACTCCGCCCTTGTCGCCCACACAGAAGCAGCTCTGCAGCATTTAACATCCTGCTTTGCACACGCTGCTGAGCTCTTTGGGTTGGAAGTCAGCTTAAAGAAGATAGAAGTTCTCTATCAACCTGCACCTCAGGAAGTCTTCCATCATCCCCATATCACCATTGGTGAATCAGAGCTCAAATCAGTCCAGCAGTTTAATTACCTAGGTAGCCTCATCTCCTCGGATGGTAAGATTGACGGAGAGATAGACAACAGGTTAGCAAAGGCATATAGTGCTTTCAGAACACTTCATAGAAGAGTTTGGCGAAATAAACACTTGAAGAAAAGTACCAAGATCAGTGTTTACAAAGCCATAGTGCTGTCTACTCTTTTATATGGTTCCGAATCATGGGTCATCTACCGCCACCACCTGCGTCTCTTAGAACGCTTCCATCAACGCTGCCTCCGTACAATACTTAACATCCACTGGTCAGATTATGTGACCAATACATCTGTTCTTGAACAAGCAGCAGTTATGAGTATTGAGGCCATGTTGCTGAGAACACAGCTGTGCTGGGCACAACATGTCTCAAGGATGAAGGACCACCGCCTCCCTAAGATCTTGCTTTATGGTGAACTTGCCACCGGCTGCCGCAAGAGAGGAGCCCCGAAGAGAAGATACAAGGACTCCCTGAAACAACATCTCAGCCTTGGCCATATTGATCAACATAACTGGTCTACTCTGGCCTCCAATCAGGAGGTCTGGAGACACACCATCTATAACGCTGCTGCTTCTTTTGAGAAAGCACGCAGGATCACCCTTGAAGAGAAAAGACAACGCAGAAAGAATCGTGCCTTGCAGAATATTCCACCTAAGGAGTCCTTCTGCTGTGCCTTTTGCAATCAGACTTGTCTATCTCATATTGGCCTTTTTAGCCACCAGCGTGCCTGTAACAAATGTGGGTAGAGCCCTTCCCAAATCTTCTTTTGCGAAGCCTAGCCATGAAAAAATATAACCAAGCAGCTTTGGGTTCCCAGAGAGCCCTGCAGTATGGTGGGTTTTTTTCCTTAAAAGAGGCTATCAAAGTTTCAGACATATTAAATATCATATGAGTCACATTGCAACACACTACGATGGTATTTTTATGTTGTGAACTTGTAGATATATGTTGCTGCACTCAACAATAGACTGAGAGCACATGGATGTGAAACTCAGCTCTGGAAGCATTGGAAGGCTGTGTGGAGCTGAGAGAGCCAGTTCTCATTCACCCCTGCTTCTTGCAATCTTTGTGGGACTCAGATGGGGAGTTGCCTGAAGTGAACCAGCCCCACAACCACAACTGCATTTTTTCTGGGGTGGAGTTTTCTCTCCAAAAGAGAATTTACAAAGAACAAATACTTGGGCAATCAGGATGAGGAAGTGACTGGAACCTAGGAGTGACCCCAGGGAGGTATTGTATTTAAAAATGTGGGCATCCCTATTGACTTTAGTAAAGTGTTCAAGCACAGCTGTAAGTGTGGTATCTACGGTGTTGCCTCTGTGACATGTATGCAAAGCTGAATGTATCAAAATTGGGCAACAAATGCCAGCAGCTGAGCAAGGAGTCACCTAACTAAGAAGTCTCCTTGCAAGGTCAGAGGTGTGCCTTCAACTCTGCCCTGCTGCAGTTTGGGATCCCAGCTCCGTTCCTGCCCCCACTCCATATCCAAAGGCTTAGTTATCTTTAGCAGATAAGCACCAAGTCTTTTTTTTTTTTTTTCTCCCCAAAAGCTATACAAGAGGTCAGTACCCTCTCTAAAAGCATAGTCGCATGCCACTGTCACAGCCCCTCTGCCTGCAGAATTTAGCTGCTTTGATGCTTAGAGGTTAAGCATGCAGAAGTTTTAAGCATCATAATTTTAGGCACTAGTCCAGGTGATATATAGGCACTGTAAATTCTTCATGGATTTTCCACCCTTCAGGTGCAGTAATCCATTATGGATGTGGTTTATGACACAAAAATACTCGCCAATGGTTTCTGATCCTAGAAAGCAGAGACTGAACAGAGAATGTGGATTCCAAGGAGTAGTCACGGAAAGGTAACTGAAGGAGATCAGAGATTAAAGCAGCTGACAAGGTGCAGAAAATTAAGCACTGAGGTGAGTTAAAGCAGAGAAGGAAAAAAAAAGAAAAAACACGATAGCTGCAAATCCGTGTGGCTGTGCATGCACAGGAGTGACTGCCTGGACCATACCGAGTTTCTACTCATGCAGCAGATTCAAAAGGAAAGTTGGCCTTGAACATAGGGCTGCCAAACCATTTTAGTCAAGAAATGTAACTGCTTCAAAGATAGTAAGGTGTGGTGCTGAGACACAACTTCCAATACAAATGGGAAAACATAAAAAAAATACTTCTGTGTTCAGTCTAGCTCCTCCTTTTAGGATATTCTTACCTTCACACATGTACATCCTTAATTACTGAGGCAATTTCACAATGCTCTGACTATGAAGCAGGGCCCTCTTTTGTCCAACAGCAGCTCTGGAGGAGAGGAACTGCAGGGTGAAACAGGCAGTGCCTAAAAATCACATCTACATTCAACACATTTTGGACATTTGCTCAACTAGCCTCGGTCCAACCTTGCAGCTGGAATGCATCTGGTTTGGGTGGATGCAAGAGAAACATGAAACTACACCAGGGTGCAAACCGAAGTGCATATGTATTGGGGGTGGGTGTTTGGGAGATTAATTTCAAAAATGCTCCCATGGACATAGTCACCAGGTGAATCCAAAACAAAAAAAAGTCCTGATCTGACTGTCTGTCACTGCTGCAATTGCTTGCAATGCCCCACCATCCCAAGCAGAGCACAGTGCTTACCTCCCCAGCCCCAGAGGCAGCAATTCTCCCCACCCCAAAGGGCAGGTATATATTTGAAACGACAGAGATGTAGAATCTGATGGAAATTGAATTCTTTGAGTGTGCAGGCAGTGCCTAGGGCCGCGGGAACACTGTAGTTGTTCCTTCATTCACCACTGTTTAGTGGATCCTCAAAACAGCAGCGTTGCAGTGGGGTTTATAAATTACGAGACAACAGACAAAGTGAATGCATAAGACAAAATTAAAGACCTTACTGCTACCTCCCATAAATTATCTCTCAGTATTTTAACAGCATGAATTCACGTGTATGTTAAAAATAGTATGAAAAACAAACCTACCTCGTAGACTAACTAGGCATTAATGAAAAAGCGGAATATTGGTTTGTGTTCTCCAAAACATAAAGAAAGAAAAATATCCCCATCAGTTCTGATAATGCCTTTCCAGGGGAGAGGGAATCATATTCTTCTATATTGAAAAAGAGAGTGATCTTTCGGAGTCGGAAAGAAAATAAATAAAACTAATTACACCCTCCGCACGCGGAGGAATCGAAGGCGCTAAGTCAGCCCAGGAGAGCTGGGCGCTTTGGTTCTGTTCGCTTCACAACTCCCTTGTCGCTGTGCGCGGCCCCAGGGAGGCACCTCCCGCCGCTCCCGCGGGGGCTGCGCGGAGCGGCCGCTTCCCCCGCAGGACAGCGCGGTGGTTCCCACCGAGGCTCAGCATCGCCTCCCGGTGCCGTCCCGGGCAAACTCCGACCCCCGGTGACTCCCCCCGAACACACTGGCGGGCTGGGCTGCTCATGGCACCGCTCCCTTAAAGGGGCCGCGCGTGTGCGAGTTCGGTGTGAGCGCGTTGCACACCCACTGCCGCTGCCCGGAGCCGCGCAGAGCTGCGCCCGGAGCCCCGCGCCCGCCCCGCGCCCGCCAGCGGCCTCGGCGAGGAGCAAAGCACTTGGCATGTAGGAGCGAAGAGAGAGAAAAGGTGGGGGGCGGAGGGAGGAGAAGGAGGGGGGAGGAAAAAAAAAAAGAAAAAAAAAAAGAGCTGCCTCTTTAAATGCTGGGGGCTGAGTGCTTGCCGGGGCGTCCGCAGCGGATCCAGCCTCCCTCCCTCCCCTCGGCCGTGCCTCTCCGGAGCTCATGCCCAGCCGCGGAGCCGGCGGCGCGGCGCTCGGGCGCTGCCGCTGCGCGGGGAGCGCGGACCGCGCCGGGCCGGGGCCATGATCGCGATCCAGCCGCGCCGCCGCCCCGCCGCCCGCTCGCCCTAGAGCCGCTCCCGGCGCCGCGCAGCCGGGCCCGCCGGGTAAGTTCGCGGCCGCCCGGAGCCGGGAGAGGGCGGGGGGAGGCGCCCCTGGCCGGCGGCCCGGCCCGGCTCACCTGGGCGGCGGGGCAGGTGCGCACCTCGGCCGTCCCCAGCTCGGACCTCCCGGCCTCCCCGGCGCTCGCAGCCCCCCTCTAACAGGTGGCTCGGTGCCTGCCCCGCTCCCCGGCGGCTCCTGCGCCTCTCTCCTCCTCGCTGCCGCCTAACAGGTGGTGGTGCCGCCGCGCCTTCCTCCGTGCAGGTAGGGAAGTGCCGTGTCCCGTTCCCCCTCCCCCCCGGCCCCGAGGGACTCGCAGCCCCGGCGGCTCTGGCAGGGACTGCGCTGAGCGGGGAGAGCCGGGGTGCCGGCTGAGGGGGGAGCCGCGCTTATGCCCCCGCTGCTCCTCTGGGAGCCGCTCACCCCGCGCTGCCTTCATAGCCCCGCCGTGTGTCTGTCTTTGCAGCGGGCATGGGGAACCAGGTGGAGAAGCTGACCCATCTCAACTACAAGGAAGTTCCCACGGCCGACCCGACAGGTATGGACAGAGATGAAGGGCCTAGGATCGGGGTCTCCTATATTTTTTCGAACGACGATGATGAGCTGGAGCAGCAGCAGGATTCAGTGCATGACCTGGGGGGTGAGCACCCTGCCCTGCAGCCCTACGATCCCCAGCTGCACGAGGTGGAGTGCTCAGTGTATTACCGGGATGAGTGTATTTACCAGAAGAGCTTTTCAGAGGAGGACATGCAGCCAGAGGAGGGTGATGAAGGAGGTGGGGGGCATCTGAGCACCTACACCCCGGAGAACCTGCTGAATAGGTGCAAGCCAGGTGACCTGGTGGAGTTTGTGTGCCAAGCGCAGTATCCGCACTGGGTGGTCTATGTCGGGGATTTTCAAGTTGTGCACCTACATCGGCTGGAGGTGGTGAACAGCTTCCTCACCGACGCCAGCCAGGGCAGACGGGGCCGCATTGCCAACCAGCTGTACCGCTACAAACCCCTCAGCCCAGCCGTGGTGGTGCGCAATGCCCTGGAGCAGGTGGGCTGCAAGGATCGGGACTTGAGCTGGAGAAACTCTGAGTGTTTTGCTGCCTGGTGCCGGTACGGCAAGCGAGAGTTTAAAATCGGCGGGGAGCTGCGCATAGGCAAGCAGCCCTACCGATTGCAGATCCGGCTGGGTGACAAGCGCAGTCACACGCTGGAATTTCAGAGCCTGGAGGATCTGATTATGGAGAAGAGGAGAAATGACCAGATCGGTAGGGCTGCTGTGATCCAGGAGCTCTCCAGCCACCTGCAGGCTGCAGAGGAGGAGGAAGAGGAGGAGGAAGACCGTCATCATCATCCAGGTGCTCAGACTGCCGTGGAATAGCAGCCTCAGCACCACCATACTGCTTAGCCTGGGTGATGGGGATTAAAACTGAAGGCTTCGAAATTGAGCTGTTATAAGCCCTTTGGGCTGCTTCGGTGCAGCTTCATTCCAATCACATGTGAAAGGAAGGGGGAAAGCTGATTAAGTGTCTGTGCTTTAGTGCTTAACTCCTTCAGTGCTTGATGATAAAACCCCTGACTTATTTGTAGAGGATAAAACTCAGGGCAATTCTACCCCTCTCCTCTCCCACTTCTTTCCCTTCCTCTCTGCTGTGTTCACACATAGCCTTTTCCTCAACCATCTGCTAGTAGGCTTGACCCTACAAGATGCTAAATGCCTTTGACGTCTACTTATCAGCAGAAGTTAATAGTATTTAATACTATTAAGAAGGAGCCAACAATTTTCAGGACATGACCATGTAGTTCTAAGCATGAGGATATTGTTTTCCCTTCTCTGCTACTGTTTCTTTTCAGCCGTGGCTTCTGTTGGTATTACAACAAGCTTGCTTGCTTGCCTGGAGCAAAATTTTGTGGATTAGTAGCCAGTGTCCCAAAAGGTGTAAGGCAGGAAGCTCTACTAATTTTGAAGAAATGGTTTTGGTGTGCCTGGTGCCTTCCCAGGTTATAGGAACTTGCAGGTGGGAAGGGGGACCTTTTCCTTTGCTATCAGCATGTGGCTTTGGGGACAGAAAGATGTTTTTATTGGTGATGGATCCTAGGGGATGAGAAACTTTGCCACCCCAGTTAAGGAGTCTGCACACTGGTGTGTGCTGCGACTCTCACAGACTGAACTGTGCCAGTGCTCATTACAGGCTGCCTGGCTTCTCCTAAAGCAAATGGCAGAGCTCCTGATTATGCCTGTGGTACAGATCGAGGCAGTAGAAACAGGTTGCTTGTGTGTAAGAGTGTCTTGAGTAAGCTGTCCCTCGAGAGGGTGACCTCTTGGCTGGGTGCTCCTGGCTGTGAGCATGTCACAGGTTCTACATCACCAGAAACACAGCTGTGATGGAAGGGAGCACATGCTGGAAGATATCACAGGCAGGGGGGTTTGGGTGTTCCTTTTTTTCTTTCCTTACTGCAAAGAAGTTTCCTCTTCATTAAGAATTTCATGTTTCCTTTTTTGCTAATTTTTATGGTATGCAGCTGAGCTATAGCATTAGAGAAAAGGAAAGGACATGCCTCCAAAATTGTGCAAGTCCTTTGGGAGGGAGAGTGCAGTGCCACTTGCCCTGAATGCTCCCTGAACTTGTTTTCAGCTGTTGAACTGCTCTCCCACACAAGCAGTACTGTCAGATCTTTGTCCTGGGATCTGGACTGTGTGAGCAAGCAGTGATTTGGAGACAGTCTCTAAAGCAAAATTCCTTCCCCTTAAAGCACGAGATGATGATGTGAACTTGAAGATTAGCTCGAGTTCATTTAAATAATGGAAGCTAACAGTGTGATGTAAACTTGAAGCATAGTTAATACGGTCTTCCTCGCAGTTGTTTACAGTTATACCACAAATAGCAAAGTACTCTGTGTCCTTTCCACCCCTGAGAAGGGAGCAAAGTTTGTCGTTTAAGAATAGGTAGATACCAGCTTTTGATTAGTTATGTCTATAAAAAGCAACTTTGCCAATGTGAGCCAAGTAGATTGTGGTGTCATGTTTTCTGTCTAAAAGACACAAACTAGAAAAAAGCTGTGAGAGGCTACTTCATCCTCACTTCAGAGGAAAAATAATTTTCAGGGTTATGCAAATACGTCATATACTGTTCCATTAATGACTCACATGCCCTCACTTTGGCCTGTGAAACACCCAAATCCAAAGGATAGTTTAACACCAAGCTTCCTTAAAATGCTATAGCTCAGGTGCCTACACTAAGTGTTGGTTTTTTTCACCAATATGCAATTGAGTTATACTCAGGTTACTGTGGTTGTCAAACAGATGTGCAACCTTGATTTGATAGCTTAAAAACTACCCATATCTAACTGTGATATGGTTAATATGTGGATATCTGCACACAGGTTTTATACAACTACTAGTAACTACTGAAAGCTGAAATGATCACTGAAATAGTCTGAAAAGGAGTGAAGGAGAGTCTCTCTGTTGTACTACTGACTGACATGAGACAACAGATTATCTAGACCATGAACAAATGTCTGGCTGTGGTTTCTTTCATACTGAAACCTTGTACATAACAAAGTTTGTTTCACTGTGTAATATAGCTATGTAAAATAATATTTTCTTACAGATATTTTTGAAATTTTAAAAAAACCCTTCATAACCTTGCATTTGAAAGTAAGTTGTTATGCACATTATTTTCCAGTCCTCCGAATGAGTTTATTTTTCATTTGTGATCTAAAGTATATTCTAGGTCATAAAGTGTAGAAACTGCTATAAATGTCAAATATTATGTATCTACAGGGTACTAAACAGTAAACTAGTTGTGAAAATATTTTTCCCTTGTGTCTGAAACATCAGAACTATGACACTTAACTGTTTCTATCCTTCTGAGATATCCTGCGTAATCTGGCTATGTTTTTAATTCTTTATTTCCACTTTTTTGTTTTAATAAGAACAGGACCAAATCTGATTGGGAATGGAGAGCAAATCTTCTTTGACCAACTGAAATCTTGTCTTGTGCTGATCTTGGTGCTTCTCTGTACTGGTCACGCCTTTAGGGATAAATTCCCTCACAGGCACAGGGCCTTAGCAAAGAATTCCAGAGCTTGAATTGCTTTGTTAGGACAGAGAGTGAAGGGAGAGCTTGCCTCATAGCAAAGCAGAGTCTGGCACGAATTCTGCTGTGTTATAAAACCCATATGCTCCTCTGACACCTGGGATACAGGTGTTTGATATTTAAAACATAGATATCTGGAAGTTTTAAATTTCTCTACAAACTATGTTTGGGGACTTACTGTCTCCTGGCATTCCATTATGTGTAAAAGTAGAAGAGGAAGGGAAGCTTGGCACTTTTTAAATTTTGTCTGGA